CAAAAAGGGAAGACGAAAAATAGCAGTCTAAACATATTAGACAGTCTGTAGGTACAGATGTATGATATTACTTTTCTTCTACTGCCACACACACACACACACACAGATCTAAGCAACAAAACAAAATAGGAAGTAATGATGAAAAAAAATGAGGAAAAGGCGTTTTTTGAGGGACAGACAATAGAAAAAAAAAAGTAGGGAAAAGGAGGAAAGGACAATGAACACCCACACTGATATGACAATGTCAATTTTCAGACTGATTTTGTTTTTCTTTTTACAAAATTTTAGACCATGTGTGGAAATTTATTGATTTTTTTTTTGATTGGCATGCTTTAAATGTTGTCTAAGGCCATGTTTGACATGATTTCATTTTATATATGCTGCAGTTGTAATTTTTATTTTGTTGTGGGAAAAAAATCTGGCCACAAAAGTTTCTTGAAAAAGAAAATTTGACCAGTTTTGGTGATTGGCCCTGTAGAAGCCTGAATTTGCATATATAAACACAATGGAAAAATTGTTTATTTTGGAAAAGAAAGACTGACGGCATTTTGTAATGGGGTATTCCCACTGTGATTTCTGTGGATTGTTAATGAGTTGAAAGTTTTCGTGACTATGGTTCTGTAAACATTCGAACATGTTAAGTTTAGAATTATTTTGTTAATAATTTAATTAACTGACAAAGGATTGTTTATTCGTTTTCATAACTGTGTGGAATTTCTTATTTTTTTTATTTTAAGAGCCGTGTGTGACCTTTTACTTTCATTGATTGGCTAATTAAGTTAATAATTGGTGAATTTTGAGAATTAATTTTTTGTGGAAAAAGTAAGTAGCTAATTCTTGTGGGAATAGGTAGATTCGGCTTGCATGGTCTCAGATTTCCAAATGCGTTTGGGTCTGGGTCTCAAGGTGGAAATGGCTACACCTAGCTATGTAGTTAGGGAACTGATGAATTATGGGGAGTAATATGAGGGCCTGTGCACCATGAAGTATTTATATTGAATAAATATACCCTAAGATCCCTCTGGGGCCAAGTTTTGAAGCTCCCAACGACCTAGTGGAATTGGTCAGGTGACTTGTAGGATGCCAAGTTGCAAAAGTGACTAAGGAAAGAAGGAGCCCTTGTAACCGTGATAGAGCCAGCAATGGATTAGTTAGATGCTGAGCGGGTGTGTTTCTTTCCCCATGGGGGCAGAAGATTTCAAGATGATGCGAACTGAGTTTTGGGCACACAGAGGCATATGAGCAGTAACTATCAGAAATTAATAGTGAAAAAAATTGTGAAAATCTGTTCAAGTGAATCTGGTAATATACAAGTAAAAATGTAATTAATTAGTTGTTGAATAAATAGGGTGATAATGAATGGTGCTGTGTCACTGTAATGGGAAAGGAATGTAGATCATAGCATATTCCATGTGTAAAAATTAGGTGGCAAGGACATGGCTCAGTTATAGAAATGGTTGACGCAGTGGCAAGGGGCTTTTGGCATGTATTGTGTGTTTTTTTTTCAATGAATTATATGCACATTTTGTGAAGTCTCAAGTGAAGAGGCGAGAAATTTTGTTCTCCCCAGTTAGTACCTGCTGACTTGGTTGGAGAAGATATGGGAGAGGTCAAAGTTCACTGTTGGAGTGACTTGTATCCAGACTGGCGTCTGAGGTGTTGACCTTGGGTCATGGAAGCTAGTGACCAAGAATGGACAAAGGATTGTCCGGTATTCCGTTTTTTGTTCAAAAAAAAAAAAAAAATTGTGAAGCATGAAAAACTGGTCAGAAGACATTTGTTGTTTATGTTCATTCTTTTTCAGGAATTGTTTATGTGCATGCTGGAGTGATCATGTGACTGAGGCCCAATAAAAAAAATTGTAAGCATGCCCTGCATGCATGAAATTATAGAGGGTCTTTTAGAGTAAATGTAAAATTCATAAATTAATTTTCGTTGATGGTTAAGAAATGTTAAATAATAGTTTCAGACTATTATTTTTTAATGGCATCAAACCTGAGACTGACCTTAAGGTTAGATGGTAGACAAAATAGGGAAGTCAATTTTGATTGGCTGAGCTGAACATAGGAATGTTAGAGTTAGAAAGTGTTTTTGAGGTGTTAAGTTTTTATATGTCATACAGATTAAATGTGGTTATTTTGTGCCTTGGGGAACTTGCTCCCCAGTGGGGGTGATAAAACAACCCCACTGGTTAGTTAAAGATGTACACAACAATGTGTTAATAAAATAGCTAAGTTTAAAATCCCTTTTGTTGAAGTTCTCATTTTTACCTCCAAACAAACCAACTAGCAATCACCTGACCGAGAGAAAAAAAAAAATAGGAAGATATCTTTATCATGATCACCTCAACACTACTCCCAGCAAGAAGCAGGTACACAACATACATAGGTCCTTAATTTCTGTACAAACAATTATTTTTATTTCATGGGTGACTTTTGTTGGACTGCACAATTAATCTTTGTTATTCCCAAATTTATTTCCAAGTTATAAAAATTGTTATCATACAAAAAAAAAATTTGTCACGATAAATCATAAAAAAAAAAAAAAAAAAAAAAAAATCTCTGAAAACAATCGCAGTAATGAAAACTTAGGAATCCAAAATTTCAGGATTGCGTGTCTAGATCTGGCCAAGAATGTTTTTAATTTGCTCACAGAATCAATCCAATTCCAAAATGGTATATGTTGGGCTATGGCCTCTAGGAGTAAACCTGAAAAAGTGACACACTGACATTTGCATTTACTATATAGAAGAAGATGAGCTATTGAAAGTTAAAGAGTTGTGTATCTTCAATTGAAAAAGTGTGACACACTGACATTCATATTTAGATTTTTATTTATGCAGATTAAATTCAATCTACTTTGTCTGAATATGACATTTTTGAGTAAAATTAAGTTTTAAAGTGAGAGCAAGTGAAATGGACACAATTTCAAATACATACTAACTTTAAAAAGGGTGCTCCCAACAATACACCTATACATAAAATAGCTGCTTCAATATTTACTTTCAATTTGCTTTGGGATTCTTTTTGATATCTGCTACAGTTTTGAGAATTCTATTTTCTAAGTACTGACTTGACTGAATGCTAGGCACAAAATTATGAAATTGCCTTTTTAAGTATAATGGTTACTGATTGCATGCAATTAAATTTGGAACTACTTAAACATACTAATGCACTTGTAAAAAAAAAAAAAAAAACACACACACAAAAAAGTTTTGGGGAAATAATTTTTATAGGTTAGCATTCTTTTTCAGCCTTCCTTAGACTGTGAAACTTATTGGAACTGAAAAATATTAATTTTTTTTAATTGATTTAGAAGGCAGGTCCTGTGTATGGGAAAATGAAATAAAATCAATAAATAAAATAATTAAAATGAATAAGAAAAAGAAATACATTTTCCCATGATGCTAGTAATAAAAGAACCGAAAATTTTATTACCCAACTTAGCTTTATCAAACACCTCTTAAGTTGCACCGTTTAAACTATAAAAAGACAATTTCTTTCCTCTTCCAAGATGTAGCAGCACATAGATGAAGATGTTCCCACTGGGAAACGTTTGTTTCCTCAGTTCACTGATCTCTCTTTCCACTTTCCAATACATGGCGTTCGCACGTCTTCCAAAACTTCCACTTATGAAGTGAATCAACCTTTTCTTTGGTCGTTCCAATTCAGCACAAAGCTGACAAGTTCTACCATTATAACTACTGTTTCTTTGGTCATTCTCACTCAGCTCAAGGCTGATTTGGGCTCAATCATTAATGATGGTGATCCTTCCTTAGCCCTAACTTCTGGACCAGTAAAAGGAAAACTGACATACCCAAGAGAGATTGAGAACTTTGTTTAACTAATCAGTGCTAGAAACCCAACATTTTGTATGCTGCTTCTTTAATTGTTTACAATGTATGCATGAAACCTAAAATGCAGCCTAGGCTCTACACACTACTTTAAATTCTAGATTGATACAATGTCAAAACTCGTAAATAAAAGATAAGTAACCTCAGTGATGTTCAATAACCATGTAAAAGTCAAGAATCGATTTTTTTGTGCACTATCGATATTATGAAGAGGGCATCCATACTAAAAATGTTTTTTTCTTATTTTATTATTGATATTTTTCGATTCCGACAACTCTCCCGGTCTAAGGAAGGTTCCTAAAATGCTAATCTACAAAAATTATTTCTAAAAAGAATTTTCCATAATTTTTAGTACGAGTGAACCAGTTGGTTAAAGTAGTACCGAATAACATCCATTATCGCGACATCTATCAGAGATGAAATTTGAATTTTTATTATTGCATTATTATTCCAAAATTTTAAGACATCAGCAGATAGCTAATGAATGAATGTCAACAATTGACCACAAATATAGTTATTAGAAAAAAAGTAATTAATGTCCATAACTACAAGTACAAGAATGTTGTTTTTGATAAAAGTTAAAAAAAAAAGTAACCATAAAAATACGTAAAAAAAGTGTATATTGTCAAAAATTCCTTTTCCCACAATATTTGTGCATGTTATAATGCTTAGCTTATTACAAAACAATAATTAATAATACTGAATAAATGTTTTTTTAAATGTTTTAAAGTAGTATATTTAATCACATCTCCCGAATAGCTATCGTGGTATAAAAAAAAAAAAAAAAAAAAGTTTAACCGTGGGATAATATTTTTATAAATAACATTTTCTGCTGGATAGGTGTGTTGTAACAAGTTCAGTTTCTGTTTCTTTCTTTAGTTATTTTAAATGATTTCAAAAATAAATCAAGAACATTACATAAAATAAATGACATTTTTATTATTTGAAGGACTTTGTTAATTTTGGGGGTCAAAAAATTACCTTTATTGAATAACAACGCAAAAATAATGGTTTCTGTTTTAGTTTTTTAAACAATTTTTAATTAGTTTGATTAAAAAACTAAACAAAATGGATTTCGAGTTACATCCAGACAATAAAGAAGTTATTAAAAAATTATTTAAAAAATATAAGGAGACTTGAATCTCACCTAAACCACATCGTCCAAGTGGAATGGATTTGAGTTGAATTGGTGACGGTCTTAAAAAACCGGCATTTTTCAAACCTTTTAGAACACGTTGTGACAAATGCAAACCTTCGAAGTCGATATTTTCTGAGATTTCAATGTCTTGGGTACGAATAATATTGTCGTTAAAGATGTCGTGGGCAACTCTTGCTGAAGAGGCCATACTAAAAATAAAGACGTATATTGAATAGGGCAAAAGTCCTCGCAAACAGCAAGGTAAATGTATACAACGAATTAAGGAAACAAAATATTATCAATTCAAGTTTAAGGTGGCCATGTGTTTTTTATACAAGCAAAGCTGACATTTTTAGTTTCGTATTAAAGTCAGCGGGGAAAGTAAAAATATTTCTTTATATTTTAAAATATTAACCGAGAACATTTAAATTAAATTATTTTTTTATTCATTTGTATTTTTTATTTATTTAGCAACAAATTATAATTTATCCTGTAAAAATAAATGTCAAATTCTTTCTGTGTCTGTAGTGTACAGTCCGTTTTTTTTTTCTGCGAACTGCCACGGACTTCCTAAAAAACCGAAAAACGCCTTTTTTTAAAAAAATTTATTTTAGTAATTTAAAATGCTTTCTTTTAACTAAAATTTCGGTTTTATTTCAAAGAATAAAAAAATAAATCCCAATTAAAAGAAAAATGTATTTCTAGGAACCCCCACTGACTTTCTAAAAAAAAAAAAAAAAAACAACCGAAAAACCAATTTTAAATGAAATATCTTCTTTGAACGTAAATTTCGGTTCTATTTGAAAGGTAATGGCTTAAAAAGTTAATTGGAATGACAAGAAAAATTAATTTCATCAAACTTTTGGGGAATTTTTAAAACAATGGCACATTTTTTCGACACTCTTCGAGCCGCCATCATATATGAAAAACAGAAACAAGAAAATTTAAAATTTTCTTTAAAATCCGATATTTGTCTGAGAGATGTGTTTCAAAGTCTGTTAGTAAATTTAAGGATTAATTAACTGGGTTTTCTAAAAATAATGCTTACCTTTTGCTTAAAACAGAATCACAATGACGTTTAATTTACGGCCTGTTACAGAGCCGATAAGGATGTTGCCTCCTCAAGCTTTAGGAGAAAGATGTGAACAGCTAAGACAATGAGGGGACAAAGGCAAAGATTTAAGAAACAATAACATTGATTTTATTTATCCGATATGTACTCTGGAAAAATATGTTTGTATCGGCTTCAGGTTGGGTATGACTAGTTGACATCCTTTAGGGGAAGTTGATTGGGTAGTGTCAGCAAAACGAGTGTAGAGTTGGTCAGTGGCAGTAGCTGGTCGACTGCCAGATTGGAGAATTGGCAGTAACTGGTTGGTCGAAGATGCATGTAGTACGAGTCTCTAAACAGAGCCAAGTCAGAGTAGTGTTACACCTTCCAGGACGGATTGACCGCGGAAAGGGATCACGCCGAAGGGTAACAGTTGACGTAGGCAAAATCCCTAATTAGAGCCAAGTCAGAGTAGTGTTACACCTTCCAGGGTGGATCGACTGTGGAAACGGGATCGCGCCGAAGAGTATTCTCTCGACGAGGCACCAGAAGCTCACAAAGGTACCATACTACACTTTGATCCCAGCCTCCGTGCCGAGCAGCCACCAGTTTTTGGGACGAAAAAGGGGCTAACAATATGTAGAACAGTTTGTTCAAGTACTCCCTGGCTGGAGGGAGTAGAAAACCGTAGATAAAAAAATTACTACACACGATGTTCAATGTTTGGGAAAACACTGTCCAATTCGATGCTCACAAGGTATAGTTTGGACTCAACCATATTAGGCCAGTCGTCCAGTTTCTCGCATGTTGCTTGACTTAAATCTGCAAGATCAGGGGTTGTGGAGGTCAAGGTCGTTTTTTTGAAGGAGTGTCTAATGGCAGCCACGACAAGCCTATGAGGTCAAAGGGTATTATAGAAACTGTAATTCTACCCCTGTCCAAAAAAGCACAGGAAAAAGTATAAAAATAAAACCTAAAGATATACGGAAAACCAGCATTACAATAATCAAGAATTTGTTATTTATGTTTAAAAATACATTTTTTTAACTTCATATAACCAATATTTTATTTTTTTTATTTCGATATACTTTTATTAAACTTAGTATAATGAATAAATTTGAAGGCATTAAAGTGATATCTAAACAAAAATGTGTAGGATATTTACTAACAAAAGTGACAGAAATAAAAAAAAAAACAGAATCTAAATGAAATTGGCTAGATAAAAAAAAAAAAATTTTAATTTAAAATTCCCAGTATACATTGTTTGTGCCTATGTGTAATCACACCAATATGACAAATTATAAATGCTCTGATGTCGGTGACTTTAGTTGTCTGGTATTGTTGAGCACTTTTTTGCTTGGGGCAGTAAGCTCCTCTACTGTGATGCTATTGTTCCCTACAACATTGAACACTTTTTTGTCACACCATTTCTGGTGGAGTTTTTTTTCTTTTTTTTCTCTCAGTTATTTTGATCTTGACTTGAAAGGTTAGCCTCCACCTAGTAAGTTTGGTTGGTTTGCCATCTTGGACTTGACTGGTGGTATAAGAGTTCCTATTTTCACAAACTACAGCTACCAACCACATGATGATTGCATGAAAACACATGAAACTGACAATTGTGGTCCTTCATTGCCCACCACTCAAAAATTTGACTTTATTATATATATATATATATATATATATATATATACATACATACACACACACACACACACACACATAAAACATGACTTTTTTTATTTATTTTATATATATATTATATATATGTATAATATTATATGAAAAGATTACTTTACTTTTAAATATCAATTTTATCACAACTTCAAAGTTTCTTGGTAAAATTTCCAGTCTTCAAGGGGCTCTAGTTTTAAATATTTCCAATTTTTTTTTTCTTAATGTTTTCAATTATTTTATTAACGTTCTTTTTTAATATTATTTTAATATTTTTAATATTGAGCACTATATAAAAAAATATCTGCTGTTTCTTAAATCTTAAATCTTAATATATATATATATATATATATATATATATATATAAAAAATATATATTTAAAAAATAAAATAATTAATAAGAACACTGGATTATAAATCTTACTGTTCTTTCTCATTATTTTAATATATATATATATATATATATATATATATATATATATATATATATATATATATAGTTTTAATGTATGGTATATTTATGTGATAAAGTGCTCAATATCAGAGATAGAGCATATGTACATATAAAGTTAACATTGAAGGCAACACTCAGAGGTGACAGACTGTTTCATGCTAAACACAATCTGTGGTCTGATGATTGCATTTAGCATCAAACAGTCCATTACCTCTGAATGTTGACTTCAATGCCGACTTTTTATATATATATATATATATATATATATATATATATATGCTCCTGAGAAATCCCGTTGAGCTCTATTGAGAAAAGGGTAATTTTAGAAACAGTGGCTCCAACTGCTATTAACACATTGCTCTTTAACTGAATTGAGCTCTCCAGGCCACTGGTGTATTTTGTATAGAAAACGTTAAAATTTCCTTTCTCTCTGTCATGCGAGATAAAAGCCTAGGGGTAGAATCACTGACTGATGCCAAATTGGTTGGCAATCAGACATCTAGCCACACTGAAAAGCTGTGATACAGTGAAACAGTCTGTCTGTGGATGACAATATATATATATATATATATATATATATATATAAAACATCTCACTTTTGCCATTTTCTTATTTATTTTATCTATATGTATATGTGAATGCATATTTTATCAATTTACCCATGTGTGTATGAGAATGGTGCAGATGAATATCTTTATTCTCTCTTTTGAGATGTTGTGACAATGATTTCTTACTTTCCTGTCAACTATGATCTTCAAAAATTTAAATGCAATATTACTTGTCATCTATCTTTTTGAATCATGTCCTTTCTCCTCAGTAAAATTTCCTTCAATCTAAGTAATTCCTTGTGTCTTAGGGACTTTATCACCTTGCTTGGGGTGAAATGATGTTAGTACAATGTTTCTGCAACATTATAGAGGTTGCATAATGAAAACTCTTTTTGCCTTACATCAGCATGGCTGATGCTAACTTCCAGAAGAGTGACTCATTGCACTTTCTTAGACTAACATTTTCTATTGACATAAAATGGGAAGATTATATTGAATATTTTGCTAGATCTGCTGCTTGGAAAGTTGGTTCACTGTGTCATAAATATTAAAATTATATCACACAGAATTATAATCTATACATATTTATAAGTCTATCATTTTCTGCTATGGATTTGAGGTTTTGATAAAATACTGTTGTGTGATACACCTAATTTACATAAGGTTTCACATCTGGTCTGATAATGTTAAGAAATTGAATGACTCTATGGATTTAGAGGTTCTTGAGTCTTAAAATACAAAAATTGTAAATATTTATACCTATTTTTTTGTTTCAATACATTTAACAAATGGATTCCATATATCAACAAATTATCATCATATGTAACAAACCATATATACATTATCATCTCTGTCACCATATTTATTACAACGTTTCGGCCATTGTATGCTCTGGCCTTCTTCAGGTGGTTGGAATGTCGAACTGAACCCTTTATTTCACTCACTGGGGTAGACTGTTCTAGTTCCACGTGCCATGTTTAATGGATGTCAGTTATCAGTTATCTCCTGTTAATTCCTCTCTGCAAGTTCTCCACTGCCTTAACCGGGTATTGAATTCAAGGACACATGGCACAGTAGATAAAGGTGTTGGTTAGATCCAGTGACAAGACCCATAGAATGTGAGTTCATATCCTGTTGGGGCACTAGATAATGGGTGCACTATGGAAGAAAGGAATATTTTCCTATTTGCATTTCTCCCATTATGGGTATTGTTATATCCATGATATAATAACACCTTACTTCACAGATGGAATGAAATCATTGAAAGAAAAGGAATGACAAACATGCTTTGTTCTCAGAGAGAGTTTTATGCCTCTAAATCATACACAAAATGATATATACATATCCTACGCAGAGAAACTGTATCACAGGTATACAACAGTAAGCAGTGTGGAAAGAGTCTTACTTATAATATTTCCGGAAGAGAAAACTGGAGATACAGTTTTCACTATGAACCTGGTGAGGCCATGTGGTTTTACCTGTAAAACCTACTACTGTGGGCTAGGGATGTCCTTCTTCCCCAGGCTTTATATCGCAACTGCTCTTCGTCACTCTATACCCTGATGTCACTCACCGGCCGTCAAGTCACTCACATGACTACCTCAACAAAAAGGAGATAATCATCTTTTGGTCCCCATAAAGGTTTATTGTTCCACTGGGCTTCATAGTTAACACATTACATGAAAATTTGGAGTAATAGCTTCAAAAAGGTGTAGTCTTTTTCAAAATAATTAATATATTTTTTATTATACATACTTGTTTCTTTCTCATATTTATTTCAACATATGTAATGGCAGCAAACCAGTGTGCATCTATTTATTTATTTACCATCAAGTCATGTGATTCATATAGCTTCTTCACTTTTCAAGTAGTTGTTTATTAAAAAAATGTTCTAATATAGTGCAGTGAATTGTATAAATATATGTTGTGTTTTGTATATTTAAATTTATTTAATAATGTTGTTTTAATGTATTATGAATGTTTATTATTTTACTCACACATAATAGTTGGAATATAATATGCAGTTGTTTGTTTATATATACAGATTGATATAAGAATGCTTATTGAAAACAAATACTGAATTTCCTATAAAATATGCATTAAAATCAGCCCTAGCTCAAGAACCCCTTGTCTAATTTGAAGGTATAATATCCTCTTGAATTTGTTGTGGTATTATGCATGATTAAATTTATTTTATAATATTTTTATAAAGTATTATGCAGGTTTATTATTTTTTCACACACATAATACTTGGAATATAATATGCAAATGTTTGTTTATATACATGGAAATAAATTATTTTATAATATCAATAGATATGTTTTACTTCTTTACATTATAAGAGAAATTTCGTCCATAAAATGTCATTTGAATACAAAATTAATAATTATTACTAAAGATGGCAAAAGAAGGTTTATTGTTCCACTGGGCTTCATAGTTAACACCTTTCATTAAAATTTGGAGTAATAGCTTAAAACAAGTGTAGTCTTTTTCAAAATAATAAGTATATTTTTTATCATATATACTTGTTTCTTCTTTGCATTTATTTCAAAATATGTAATGGCAGCAAACCAGTGTGCATCTATTTATTTATTTACCATCAAGTCATGTGATTCATATAGCTTTTTCACCTCTCAAGTAGTTGTTTATTAAAAAAGTTCTAATGTAGTGTAGTGAATTGTCTAAATATATGTTGTATTATGTATATTTAAACTTATTTAATAATGTTGTTATAATGTATTAGGAATGTTTATTATTTTTTATGCACATAATAGTTGGAACATAATATGCAAGTGTTTGTTTATATAAACAGATTGATATAAAAAATGTGTATCAAAAACAAATACTGAATTTCCTATTAAAAATGTAAAAACCCCTTGAAGAACCCCTTGTCTAATTTTAATTAAATATGGCAGTTGTACAAGGTACAATATGCTTTTAAATTGGTTGGGGTATTATGTATCATTTAAGCTATATCTCAGGAAAACACATACATACATAAACCTACCTATCACATAATCTGTGCCTCTTACTCTGTAACCCTCTACCTCAAGTGGCTCTTGAGCCTTGTACAGTTTGAATATTATTGTAAACATCCAAACATCAGAGGAGTTTATAAACTTGCCAAACATCCAAGATATTTGTTTATAAAAATATTCTAATATAGTGCAGTGAGTTGTATAAATATATGTTGTGTTATGTATATTATAAATTTATTTAATAACTAGAAATATAACCCGTCTTTGCCCAGGTCTTTCATTACTGGGAATTTTTTTGCCATTCAGTTAGAGCAGTTTAAGTTTAAAGTCAGCCCACCTGAAAATCAATATTAGTAACAACATTTGGGTGCAACTGAGGCACATCCCCAAATGGGGATGATTTATGGTGTGTAAACAATTTGAATGGGGGTTTAAAAGGGAACTGTATAATAATAAATAATATTATTGTAATAATTTAAACTATTTATTTTTATTAAAGTTTTTATGAAAGATATATATCCAAGAACAGATAGTAAAACATAGTAAAACATTGCTGAGAGTTATAATAGACAGGAAGTAGTGGAGAGCCATTGTCGCCAACAATTTGGACTCAAAACTGGTACTGAAGAATTATCTATCAAACAAAAAAAATTAATTGAAATCAAATGAAAACTGTGGAAATGCATAAACAACATCCGATCACACACACACACACACACACACACAAACACACACACACATACATTTTGAGAATTATAGATATAGATATATTATAATGTATTATGAATGTTTATTATTTTTCACAGAAATAATAGTTGGAATATAATATGACCATAAAAATGTTTTAAATAAAATGGATTGATATAAAAAAATCTGTATCAAATTACTATTTACTGAATTTATTATAAAATGCATGGCTCAAGGATTTGTTGCCAAATTTTAATGAAATTCAACACTATAATCATTAGAGTTTCCAGGTACAATATGTTCCTAAATTGGTTGGAGGATTATGTATCATTTAATCTGTATTTTAAAAATACATTGATAAAAGATTTTTTATTATAAGATTATTTCAATAATGATAAAAAAAAAAATAAACAGATTTATGTCCCTTTGTAATATAAAATGAATTATTTTGATTTTATCATAAAATTTATCATCAAAAATTAGATTGATTTAACATAAAAAACATTTCAAAATTTTTAATTTTGTTTGAAAATTAAATTAACTGAAAAAATTTTTAATATAAAAATCAGATGGACAAGTTTTTTATTGATTGAACTTTAAATGACGAGAAAAGAAAATTATATTTTTTTGTAAGAGAAATTTATAAAGAAATCAGACAATTCTTTTTCAGAGAAAACTTTTAAAATTTTCTGCCTATAATTCTGGTGACAGATTTATAAATGATCTTATCATCATTAAATATCAATACATTTTCCTTCATCACATCAAAGACAAAATCATCAATTCCAGGCTTTTTATAATCTTGAGTTCAATGAAATAAGAATGAACTGAATAGATTTGTATCATGCATCATAGATTAAAAAGACCACTTGGTCACTGACAGCAGAGAGAGAAGTAGATAGATATTAGCTAGACAGACTGTTTCAGCAATAGATAGACAATAGATGATAGGACCAAACTTCCTATATATATATATATATATATATATATATATATATATATATATATATATATATAGAGAGAGAGAAAAAATAAAAGATATGATTTCTTCTGTGTTAGAAAGATTTTTGAACAGATTGAGATAGATAGATAGATAATAGATAGATAAATAGATAGATAGATGGGACCAATATTGAGATGATAGTTAGATAGATTTTTTAGATAGATACTACCATGAGTTAGATAGGACCAAAAAGATAGATAGATAGATAGAAAAGATAGATAGACTCGCCTAAAGATAGGACCAAACTAGTTCAGATAGATAGATGGGACCAATCTTTGATAGATAGATAGATGACATAGATAGATTGATAGATAGATGATAGATCAAATGATTTTATTTAGATAATAGGACCAAACTAAAGATAGATATTTAGATAGATATAGATAGATAGATAGATAGATTGTCCAAATTTAAGATAGATAAATAGATAGATAGAAAGGACCAAACTTAGATAGATAGATAGATAGATAGATCCACCAAACTTAGATCTGCAGGACCAAACTAAGGGATTGAAGATAGATAGATATATAGATAGAAAGGACCAAACAAGATAGATAGATGATAGATGATAGATAGATAGAGATTATACAAACTTAAGATAGATAGAAGATAGATAGATAATAGATAGGACCAAACTAAGATAGATAAATAGATAGATAGATGTGGACAAACTAAAATAGACAAACAGATGTAATAGGATTCAATTTGAGATAGATGCAGGAATGAACATCAATAAAGATAGATAGATAGATAGATAGATAGATAGATAGATAGCAAAAATAGTGAGATAAATATTAATATCTGAGATAGATAGATATCATAAGAAAGTATGATCTAGATAGATATGAATATATATATATATATAGATATGAATAGATAGATAGATAGATAGATAGATAGAGACCAAATCAAACCTAGATAGATAGATTCTTTAGATAGATAGATAGATAGATAGATGATTGAATAGGACCAAACTAAGATAGATAAATAGATAGATAGATAGATATTTACATAGATAGATAGATATTTCAAATAAGATAGATACTTTTTAGATAGATAGATAGGACCAAACTAAAATATAAACAGATAGATATATATAAATATAATATATATATATATATATATATATATATAGATAGATAGATAGATAGATTAAATAGATAGAAGAAAGATAGATATGAATGGTCCTGAGATAAATAGCTTTAATACTTTCTCATCATAGAATATGATATGAAGAAAGCCTTTTCAATAATGAATTTCATGAGATTGTTATGATGATGAATAGATAGATAGATAGATAGATAGAAGGACCAAACTAAGATAGATAGATAGATAGATAGATAGATCAATTTAATTTAAAACTAAGATAGATTTTAGATAGATAGATAGATAGATAGATAGGAAGAAATTAAAGATTCTTAAATAGATAGATAGATAGGACCAAATTTTAAATGCAATAAATCAAACAGATAAGATAGGATCAAATTAAGATAGATAGATATGTATATTTCTCTCAGATTCTTAGATAGATAGAAGATAGATAGATAGATATGACTTGCCTTGCTTGGGATAAATATTAATAGAGTGAGATAGATAGATATGAACAAATATGATAGATAGATATGAATAGAGTAAATAATGTGAATATTATTATAGATAGATAGATAGATAGATAGAGAAAGATAGATATATAGTGTTTGACATAGACAAAATAAATTTGCCTTATTTTTGTATAGATCAACTGACTACCAATAATCATTAATATAACAAAGGTAGAACTGTCACCAAAGACTGGAAGAAATCACATCAACTTTTGGCAAAGCTGATATAACCTCTAACACAATTGGATGGGTTTGAATAAAAGAGGAAACATAGATTTGTTGTCACCATACTTGGCTAATTGCAGGTTAGTGAGGCTATTTAACCCTTAGTTGGAGGCTTTGAATTCAGAGTTGCCTTTCTCCTAGACTAGTTGCTATCCAAGGCTATAGAACCCAGCCAGCCCTGTCCTATCCATAGAAATATTTATATATTAATGTTGTTGTTTTTTTTAGTTTGTTTTTTAATAAAGTTATACAACCAAGGTCCAGGGGAATCTCCAAGGTAGATGGTTACAAAAAAGGCTTGTTTACAAATAGGAGATAAAAGATAATGTAGGAAAATCAAACAAATGATTCCATGATCAAAGAAACATCCCAATAAAAATCATGTTTTAGCTTAGGGTAGTGTTCATGAGAAGATACTTTTTCTTTGAAACTTTTTTTTGCTGATGGAATGCAAAATGAAGATTGCTATCAAAGCTTTGTTTTTGTAAATAGATGGAAGGTCCTAGATGTGAAGGTAAAAAAAAATCTGGTGAATCAAAAATAAATGTGGATTTAAAGCTTTGAGTTTGGAATTAGCAATCAAAGATAATGAAAAAGACTGCTGACTGTGTGATAAATGTATTTAAATTTGAAAAAATTTTGGATTGGATAAAAATAATTATTAAATTGATAAAAAAAGAAATTACTAAAAAAAAGAAAACCTATCTTTTAACTCAATTGAACATGGGTCATCATTTGTTGTACATTCCAACTTTTTATGATGTTTAAAAGCCAAACAAATTAAAATGTTTTATTCCTTAAGGAAAAGTTTGACAAGTTAGAACAATAAAATCCAATCATATGGGTAGGATAATAACAAATGAGACATTATTAAAAATCACATGATATATAGATAAATATTTTGTTTAATGGCAAATTTGATTTAATATGAAAAAATAATTTAAAGAAGGAAGCTCTTGATTAATATATGAAAATAAACAAAAAAAATTTACTAATATGTTTTTTTTTTATAGTAACATTCACCCAAAAAAGGCACAGAGAGCCACACAAACTAGAGTGTTATAGATGTGAAATGGGAATTATCCAAAAAAAGAATGTCCAAGAATATAATTTGTATTGGGGGAACCCATTTGAAGAAGTTGTTTTCCCAAAGAATGGTTTTCATCAGAATCTTTGTGTGGAAAAGTAAGAAAAAATGAAGAAAAAAAGAATGAAGAAGATGGTTTTGGAAATGGTGTGTCTTACTAATGGTTACAAATAAATGGGGACTGGAATGTTGTTCATAAAAATCACTTCCCATGTGATTTTTAGCCACTAAAAATATTTTTTGTCTATTGTTATGGGAAAGGAAAAATAATTTGGAGAAAATAATAGTATAAAGATCACTTCCCGACCACCTAGGGAGTTGGTTTATTCAATTCTGAGGTTTTCTTGGAAAAATTATAAATTTGGATATATTTCACCAATGAAGGAATGTGAATTGTGAAAAAAAGTGACTCAGATATCACATGGCCAGTCTTAAACTACATAAATGGTTTGAACTTTTAACAAAATATTGAAAAGTTTTTTGAATCTTTCAGAACAAAATTCTAGAGAACTCTAGAACAGGCTTGAATTGTTTCTAGAGTATTTAGAATATTCCAATTTGCCTCATACAGGAAAAAAAATAATTGAAGTGACTGAGGAAGTATCATCTTTATTGTTGGTTTCTCAAAAGTTTTGGGAAGAAACTGCAGAAATAGTCTACATCTCACTGATATACAGTGCTATTCGATAAAAGTGACTATAATCTGATTTTTTTTTATTAAATGTTCTTTTCTCCGATGAAACGAAAGTTGAGCTAAATTCAAAGGATAAGCGATCTAAAAATCCGAAGAAGAAGCTTTGAAAGCTCTTTGAATTTAGCAGTAAGTACTGTCAAGCATCCGTTCAGTATAATGTTCTGGGGATGCTTTTCTTTTCATGGAACTGGTTTCTTAAAACCTATTGAAAAGACCCTCAGGAGCGAGCAGACTTGAATTTTAGAGTCTTGTCTGCTCCCTTCTGCTGAAAGGGTGCAAAGAACCCCACCAAGCTCATTTTTATGCAGGATAATGCTCCCTGTCACAAATCAAAATTGATGAAGGAATACTTTGATGAGAAGCAGGTGAGTGTTATGACATGGCCGCCCCAATCTCCTGACCTCAACCCCATAGAAAACTTATGGAGCATTAAAATGAAAGGCTCTCGAGAAAGCAGTTGAGCAACAAAGAGGATTTGATTGTGAATTTCATATCCGAATGGAATTCAATGCTTGGAGATGAGATTTGCCAGAACCTAATCAAGTCAATGCCAAAAAGGGTTGAAAAAGGTTATTCAAAATAAAGGAGGACCCATAGATTATTAAATATTTCGAACTATATTACCTATTATAAATAAATTATACCTCTATTATTCTTTATTTAAAGCTGTTCGGTTATGTTTCTATTGATTACTAGTTGCAGGAAATAAGTGAGTCACATTTTTTGAACAGAGTTTTCCCTAAATCTCATTTATATCCAAAATTATAATTATCAATAGAATACCTTAGGGTGAGTAAACTTTTTTACTAGGTGGTCAGGAAGGGGTCTTTATATTAGTAAGATTAAAAATTAGTTTGACCCCAAAAACAATAGGCAAAAAAATTTTTAAGTAAAAAAAAATCAGGTGAGTCACTTTTATTGAACAGCACTGTAATTAATTCCACTGATGTAAGGTCTGTGGAGGCTGAAAGAGGGTTTTCTGTGATGAATGTAATTTATTCTAACAAAAGAAATCGTCTTGAAGTTAAAAATGTGGCAAATGTTCTAGTTATAAATTGGATCTTTGAGATTTAGGAATTCATTAAAATGTATAATAAAAACCATAAATTTGCTGATGAACTAGAGTCATGAAAAAAATTATACTGAACATAAATAGTGATTTTCCAAGCATACATTTAGATTGGCATTAAATCAAAAATTAAAATACTTAGTAGGATTGAACCATTATAGTCTAATAAAATACTGTTCTATAAGACATTTGAAATATTTGAGGTCTTTTGTTTTTAAAAAATATTTTGGCTGAACGATTTCAGGCTTGGATATAACACATTAAATAATTCTTGTGCCACATATTTAATTGGGGCATTTTTGGTAGATATTATTGCAGTTAAATTTTCATTGTGGAATCACTTTTCATCTAGCAGTTGATTTCTTGATTTTTTAAATTTGGCGATTTTTATATATATTTTGTTCTTCTTTTTAAGTATTATTGTTCATTTCAACCTTCGTTTTGATTATTCTATTCTTTAACCTTTCCTAGGTTACAACCATATATATATAATATTATATATATATATATATATATATATATATATATATATATATATACTGTGTATATATGTGTATGTATGTATATGTTATATCCATTACATAATTGTAGATATAATGATTTCTGAAAAAAATAAGTATGTTTGGATTAGTAAAATTAAAATAGAGTATCAAATATATTTATTACTTAGGTGATATACTTTTTGATTTAAAATATTATTGTGTTTTTGCTATTTAGAGGTCGAATGATATCTCGTTTAAATGATGATAAACCCTTCTGTGTTTGAAATGAGAGAGCAAGTTCAGTCATGTTCTTTTCATTGTGCTGACTGTCTCATGGAAGTAATATTCAAATCTCAGATAATATATTAAACACTTGTATACAAATGTTCAATATATTATGTATGATTTTGCTATACTATTTATTATTTTTACGGTAGACACTTATAATATCTGTGTTTAAAAAAAATGAGGAAGCTTATATATGTTCATAAGATGGTATATATACCATTTGGTATGCGAAGTAATATTCAAATCTCAGATAATATATTGAATGCTTGTATATCAGTTATATAATAAATATACTTGGTACTCTATGTCATTTTTAGAATCCAAGATACTTACAAACAAACTGTGTTCCATCATTATGGGGTTCCCTATATATATAATATATATACATAACTTATATATGTATATTACTTGAACTGTTGACCTGAAGATATGTTTTAAAATAAAGAGTCAGGTCATGATATTTTTTTAGCCTGATGTCTTCTGTTACATAGCAGTATTCATTATCTGCCACAGACATATAGGGATTATATATATATATCCATGCAGATGATGTGACTAGTTCATCAGCTTTGTGTCTTGATAAGTCTTGATTGATGTTGGTTGAGTCTGCATTGTCCAAAATTTCAAGGAGGGTGATGTGATCTTGTAATGTGATTTCTAGTATAGAGCAAAGAGTTTACATCAGGAGGCACAGTACAGGGAACTGATAATTTTTCTAGCATCTTTAGTGATGGATCGTATATACAAGTTCCACTTGGGGTCTGGAATGAGCTTGAGTCCCAAAAGGTGTTCAAGGCAAGAGGGCTACCTTGAGAGAACACCTGTTCATTGCAATGGTTAAAAAATCAGGGTCTGCTTGGCAAGGACAGAACATTAATGGTTTGATTTTTAAGGTATCGAATGTGGCCAGTCAGTTTTCTCCGCCTTATATTAGTTTTACTTTTATTCTTTTCATATTTATTGATTCATTTCTGTTATTGCCATTAAAGTAATAATAAGTCAAAGTGGTATATTTGCTAACAAACTGTTCACCCCCAACATCCAGTGTAAAATATATCTGGTCGTTTTTGTTTTTAGAGGGTTTCTTGTTCTCAGTGATCCCAAGTAGCAAAGTCATTGGAAATTTTTTTCCCAAGTAGGGCCAGGACCATGATGGTAGGGTGCAAAAAAAAGGGCTATGAGAAATGGGATATATTTTTTCCAAAGACCCCAATGGCAGAATAGGAAAAAATTTACACAATCTGCGTTTTAGTACAAAACTGGCAGAAGAGAATTCAGCGCCAATCAGCTTTTCC